CACTTCACTAGAAGGAGGGAATGGATTTCAAGAAATGGGTCCTAGGAAAATTGTGGGGACTCTCGACTAGTCATACTGAAGTTGTCTTCTGGTTTGTGTGGTAGTCTGTACCACTGCTCTACACAACAACGAGGCTCCTCAAATGGTGGTCGTTTGTTTACTGAGGGAGTCATTTAACCCTCATTAGATCCATCATAACAAAAAGGACAGCACTGACTCTTGAAAAGTTTTACCATGAATAACTGGAACTATTTTAAGCCTTGCTCATGTCCATGTTAATTTGTTTTATCCTAAACAAAGAAATGTGATTCATAAACTAATCAAAATTGCAACTCATCTATAAGGTAAAACTTCGAGTGCTTTTTTCGTTTTTTAACCTTTTTTCCCTTAAGGAATTTGGCAAATATTATTCTTCAAAATCCCTCCAAAGGTATCTACAATGTTTACCTGACCATGCCAAAGAAATTATATTCTCTATATCCTGTTGAAGACAAAATGGGTTAATTAATTACAATATTTAATAAAAGTTTCAGCAATTTTCTTTTCTGAATTCAATAAAGAGTCCTTTTCCTTTCATGCCATAAACGAAACACAATCATGACCTTTCTTAGTGCAACACGTCTCCAAAGTGGCACAACCAATAATTGATGTCTGGGTAGACAAAGTGTTATCCAGAATGTGTCACTTATTTTTCTAAATAATTAGTATATTTTTTAATTTAACATAATTTTTTATATTCGTTCAGCTCAACAAGTTGAGAAAAAAAAGGGCAAATTGGTGAAAAGTCTTTTGAGGATAGGTGCTAAGCAACCAACTTCTTCAATTAAAAAAAAAAAAAAATTGGAGGAAAAAGATGAGAAAGCTTCTTTTAGCTTTGGGCTGTATATAGTAATAATCTATGTAACGTGATAATGGTATAATATTGTCCCATTACAGTCGCATCGTGTAATCTTTGGGATAAGAATCATATATCTTTGAGCTCATCCAATCGAAATCCTTTGTGGTGATAAAGTTCATGAAGAAAATATATATATTTTATAATTCAGATTATTAAATTATAAAATATTAATTATTCGGTAATAAAGAGTTTTCAGATAATAATTACTAACTTTTTCTTTTATATATATATATATTTACTGTTTTATAATTTGATATAATCCAACCAAATACCCTTACTTCCTGTGATTGGTGCCTCTTTCTGTGGCTTTTGTGTGGCTGAACTTAATTAGTTCATGGTTTCTTTTTTTTCTTTTTTTCTTTTTTAAACTAATATAATTGGAGGATAAGAAATGAGATTACCAAAACTTAAATCTTAGATTTCTAGATGCTACTATGCTTTTTAAAAGAGTTGTGACTATTAGATTACAATAGTGGTTGACGATTTGCTCATGTTTTTTTTTTTTT